ATCCGACGACAATAAGTATACGTTATTTTTTGTTTAAAGACCTTGTATTTTGAAAAACATAAACTCCTAGAAAACGTTGAAGTCACAGCAAAGATTTTCAAGCTTGTTTTTCTGCACAAGCGATTTGTTTTCCGATCAAGGTCTGTTTTAACATGTGTAGGGGCATCCAAATGTGTAAGGCTATTGGAAACCAAAAAATAAAGGAATAGGATAGCTATAGTTCGATAAAAAATCGGCAGATGAAAATACTAAAATCAATGATTTTTTTCAGTGGCTGTGTGACCTTGTGTCTGACACATTTATATGCAAATGACTAATCTGTGAAATAAACAGGGGCGGAGACAACCCACTCAAATGTTTGGAAACACTCATTGTGTGTCAGATAGCTACTAATAACACATCCTAACATTGCTTTGTCTTGAGTTAATCTTTGAAACTTATAGGCACACAGATTAAACCTGTGTTGTTGATTTTAGAAAACACTACTGAAGCTGCCTTGCTTCCCTTCAGAAAATCTATATTTTAACCAACTTACATGACATTCTAGGTTACGTTGACTTTGTCAGATGAAAGTTTATAGTGCATTTCAACTATTAATAAATAAATGTTTAACACAAATAATAGTTTCGCTACCTTAACTCTTCGCTTTCATGGTATTTGTGAGAGTTAAACAATTTTTTGAACAAATGATAAGTAATTATATTGATTTGCGCCAAGCTGGGAGGCCCGAATTTAAATATCAGTGCGTGAACTCTGGAGGTCATTACTCAATGCCGCGCGTAATTCAAACACGTGGTTAGTAGAGTTCAGTCAAAATGTACGTGAATAATGCGATCGAAGTGCGCTGCCCAGAGTTTATTATATTATAGTAAAATTTAACATGACGCATGGTATGGTTTATATTACATATTCACTTCATTTTGAATAAAATAATTCACCATTGGAACCACGATGAATCACAAGTATAAACTATTTTCTCGACTTTCCGTAGACACTCGACTACTATTCTTTTCAGTGCCCTAACAATAGTAAAAAATAATTTGAATTTTTGTAGTTATCATGAAAGCAATACATTACAAAGTTTAAATATTCAGAGCTGGTACAATATTGTAAACAAATTTGCGTAATTAGAAAAAGCAGTGCACTAAGTAAACAACGTTGATATATTCAAAGTTAGTACTCAGTTGCATACAAGTTGTGTAATTACAGTACCCCTGGATATAATAACAATTTTAGTAGATTGACATGCAGAGCACAAAAGAAAAAGGTTGCTAAGTAATGCGCCAGTTCAGTGTGTGACTTGGGGTCAAACTTCGGCCAACACACACTTGATGTCAGCATCACCGCGCAGCAAGTTTCGCAAAGAAGTACTTGAAGTTCTCCAAAATGATGTCGCTGATCACTCAGTTGTCGCAGCATGTGCTGTGTCATGTCCATGATGCACCCCGTTTCGACTTTGGTTTGCTTTTCCATCTTAGTGTTCATGTTCTTGTTCACGTAAAATGCGACCTCTCACCAATGTATTAAAACACTTTTAATTTATACTTTGCGTGATTATATTTGATCAACACGAAACATTATTTTTTACTAAACATTTCCTGAGACCATTTGTATTAGCGCAAGGTTATTTTTTCAGACAAGATGGGCTTCATAATATCTGCCATAACATCGCTCGGGCGATCTTTTGGTCCACATTTTTCTAAAAAAAATCGAATCCTCCATAAGAATGCCCAGGGCGGGGTATCAGCCGAATCCGGTATATTTCCAAGATTTATGTACCATTTTCATTTGTATTTGGCACATACATCATACATGTCACTTTGTTTCATAATCAGATCAAAGATGGCAGAATAACGGCTGTTTTTATTTGTGGCCATATTACTATATCTCTGTCACCCATGTATCATTTTCATTGATATTTAGCATGTCATAAATGGATACATGTACATGTCAATTCAATTTGCAATTTGATCAAATTTGGCTGACTGGCGGCCATCTTGTTTGTTTAAAATGTGATAACTTTGACATGCTTTCACTTGTGATCTATGTTTTTCTTTGCTATGTCTCAAACCGGAGGGATCGTCACGCAACACATGTTCGAAATTGATGTAAATAAACAATCTGTTGTATACGCCACTTGGGACTCAAGTTTCAAGGACATGCTCGAGACAACCCCTCCACTTTAATATGATGAGCACAAAGAGAAATTTAACAGGGACTGTGTCATTTTCAATGACTTGTTATTTTGTTGTTTTAATTTAAAATGACCGACTGGCTACCATGCTAGTGCTAGCCTTGTTGGATTTCATTGAAAGTTGCTGAACAAAATATGTAATCTCAAATTCATTTCAATTACAAAATGATTGATAGTGACTTTTATTCACATTTTGTTTGCTATAGTTTATCACAACATGCCACCAATCCATTCAGAGACTACAATTATCTCGCTAAATCAGATCCTATCCAGCATGCTGAGTTTGTAGAACTACTCACTGTAATCAAACTAGGTATGTATAAGATTTGGCAAGAAATCACAGAATAAATTGCAGCTGTGGACAACTTTCATAGCTAATTTGAAACCAACAGAAGATAAATGGGTTCTTGCAAAAAATATTATTGTATTTATTCTGGATTCTTATTCTAAAATTCGAGATGCAAAAAAAGGTTTGTGCAGTATTAATTTGTCTGCATCCCTCCATTTGTTATTTAATCTAGATTCTCAATGGGCAAGGTTGAATATTTGTACTATGTTTTTTAATTATTAATTAGAGTTCATATTTTCCACAACATGTTCACAACTGTCAGTAGTGTGAAGTAAGTGTACACATAACAAAGTATTGTACAAATTGGTCATACACACAACTACTGGTATACTTGAGTTGTAGCTGAGTGTATGCATACATTGTAACTGCTACAGTAACACAAAGAGAGATGCTCAATTCTGTATGCACAACTACCACACACTAATTTATATACTTGATATTCTTCATTCTATGTATTAGCTTACATCACAGACAGATCAGATCAGATCAGATCAGATCAGATCAGATCAGATATTATTATATTCATTATGCATTCCGGTCTTTCAATTCAAGTTACATTTATAAATTCTGGTAATTCTATGTTATTTTTATAGATGGTAAAACAGACATACTGGTCGAGGTCACAAAGGAAGTTGAAAAAGTCAACGAAGAAGCTCACAAGTTTGCATTTGATATTGTCTTCTGTCCTCTCAAAGTGCAGTTAGCTGACCTTTCAACCATGGAGGTAAACATGAAAACCGCTTCATGCACACATGCACAACCATGCATCCTTTGGAAGAATGTTAGTTATTTGCCGGTCTCTATTTCTAAGCAGTCTGAGAACAGAGACTCATTTAAGATTAATTTCTATCCATCCACACTGATATCATTGACATGCCTTAGAATAAAACTTGACAAACACATTGTTTTGAAAAGAGGTATAAATGTATGTGTAACTGTACCTGCATATTGTCTGCTAAAGATCCTTGTGTACATACTTACAAACATTTCTGTCAAGGAAAGTGAATGTACTAATAAGAAGATTCTTATTTTGCTAATAACAGATTCTTCGTATAAATACTAACTCTAGTTACGAACAGCGCCCTCATATTATTATTTTTTCTGAATTATGTGCAGAGCTGTACACTGTATGTTCATCCATCATTGTGCACTCACTTGCTTAGTATTTGCTGCAAACACTGCTTCCTGCAATGACGTGAATGGATGAATAATGTTATCATACATTTGCTGCAAACACTGCTTCCTGCAATGACGTGAATGGATGAATAATGTTATCATACATTTGCTGCAAACACTGCTTCCTGCAATGACGTGAATGGATGAATAATGTTATCATACATTTGCTGCAAACACTGCTTCCTGCAATGACGTGAATGGATGAATAATGTTATCATACATTTGCTGCAAACACTGCTTCCTGCAATGACGTGAATGGATGAATAATGTTATCATACATTTGCTGCAAACACTGCTTCCTGCAATGACGTGAATGGATGAATAATGTTATCATACATTTGCTGCAAACACTGCTTCCTGCAATGACGTGAATGGATGAATAATGTTATCATACATTTGCTGCAAACACTGCTTCCTGCAATGACGTGAATGGATGAATAATGTTATCATACATTTGCTGCAAACACTGCTTCCTGCAATGACGTGAATGGATGAATAATGTTATCATACATTTGCTGCAAACACTGCTTCCTGCAATGACGTGAATGGATGAATAATGTTATCATACATTTGCTGCAAACACTGCTTCCTGCAATGACGTGAATGGATGAATAATGTTATCATACATTTGCTGCAAACACTGCTTCCTGCAAT